GGCCCGCGCCGCCATCTTTACTGAGGGCGGCGGCCTTCGCGTTGACGGCGGGCGCGATGCCGCAGGCGCCACGTTCGGTGCGGGCGGAGGGGCAGAGAGGACCGGAACGGCCCGGCCCGGCCCCTCCGGTACGACCCCCCGGTACACGGGCCCGCTCCGAGCCCCCTGCCTCGCCCCATGCGCGTCCCCCCATGCTCGGGCTGGGGAACGTGAGCAAAGGCCGAAAGACGAGAGGTTTATAAATACTTTATCGATTACAAAAAGAAGCTTCCAAAGCTGATATAAAAGCACAGAAGCAACGGAATTTGCCTCTTTTTATGAGGAAAATATTGCCATAGGCCTAGAAGCTCCCTGCTGTAAGAGGTACAGGGCAGTCAAAAAAAAAAAATACTACTTCCTCCTTTTCCCCAAATAACCGCCATTAAATACTAAAAATGAACAACAATGTGAAATGAGCGTGGAAGGAACGCCGGGCTTGTTGCCGATGCTGCATGTGCCCCAGTAGATGTTAACTCAGGCCCACGAGCGGAGCAGCTGGGCTTTGCCACAGAGGGCTCCTCGGGCCGTGGCCACCTTAGGGCTGGCCGTGGCTAGAGAAGTTCCTCCTTGGGTAAGCTCGGGGAAGATCCATCCAGGGACTGCCTTATAAAGCACTGTCTGTGTCTGTCCGTACCCTGCGGCACACGCTGCCCAACTCGCCAGCGCAGTCTCGCCAAAACTCGCACTCTGCAGAGCGAGGCAGCACGAAAAACAGTTCAGAAGGTGGGTGAGGGAGAGAGACATGTTTCTGCGACACTTGGCGTTTAAAACCCAGGATCCTGTGTCGAGGATGAGCCAACGTGCTGCATGGCAGCATGCCTGTATTGGAATCCACTGGGATTTCCCCGACACGCAGGGACTGGGAGGTGTGGGCGCTGCGCAGCACACCCGGAGTGTAACGGCATTTCACAGAGGCCATTGCAACCTAAAGCACCTACTTCTGCAAAACAGCATGATAAGATCACAGGAGGAGTAAAAAAAAATAATAATGATCTGAGGTTTTGTTCTTTGTAGCTGAAACAGGCCCAGCCCCAGCCCTCCTTGCACAGTGCTGCTGGTGCAGACAACCACCGTCCAGCCAGTGCTTCTCAGAGCAGCTCTTTCACAGGCACTCAGGCACTTGTAAAAGGCACAAGGTATGGCCCTCCGGCGCTTCTCCCTCCATCCAGCAGCCCGGGAGGACTGGCCTGAGCGTGGCTTCCTCCTGCCCATGCTTCCAGCCCAGTTACACCAGAAGGCTCTGGGTCCTGGGCCAGGCTGGCAGAGGAAGGCGCGTGCAGGCAGATCACGAGTGGGACAGGGGAGAGCAGGGTGCATGTGCTAACACGGCAGGCATAGTGTGAGGTATCTGCTGTCTTCACCAAGCTTCCTGCATTATGGCTGCTGCTGATACTGGCTCTCTGTTGCGGTAAAGAAATCTTCCAAAACACTCTGCGTGTACTCAAAGGTGGGACGATCCTCTGGTTTGATCTTCCAGCATCTCATCATGATGTCATACAGCTCCTCGGGGCAGTTCTCTGTGCGGGGCATTCGGTACCCGTGCTCCAGGGCCCTGATCACCTCCACGCTTGACATCCCTGGAGAAACGGGGCAGGTGAACGTTTCATAGTTTATCACTGATTTCTTTAAAAGGCAAAAAACACCCAAACCCCAAACTGCTCACCCCGTGGGCAATGACACTAGCAAGATAAAGGACAAGTTAGAGGGGCTGGGAAGGGGGAGCTCCTACTCCCAGTCAGGGAAACACGTGAACAACCAAGATGCTGAGTTAGTTGTCGCATGCAGTTTTGTAACCCAGTTGAGCAGATCAGATGGGAATTGTAATTGTTCTGTATAAATTTCCACAAAATAAAGGCTACACTTCTCCATCTGCTGAGTCTTTAATGAGCCATTCTTTCCAGCGTCACTGATAAAAATAAGTGTGATGGCAGAGTTGGTCCTTTCCCAACCACCCCTTATGCCAGCCCACATCCTTCACGGTCAGTTTGTGGCAACTTTTAGTTTTCTTGTACAGAGTAATTTCCCACGGAAAAAAGGTACCAAAGAAGCTATTAGTATTAAATACCGAGTGGTTCCTAACCATGAAGATTCACAGATTGTTTGAGCCTTCCCAAAAACACCTGGCCCAGCTGTCAGCCCTGAACTGATGTGCTACTTCCAAACATGCTTAATCTGCAGGAGGCAGAAAAACCACGGGGTAGTGCTGTGACACAAACCCGTGAGCCAGGAACCTGTGGTGTGTGATACCTGCTCTCCCAGGGACATGCGGTACGGCCTGGGGCAAGTCAATTATCCTCTCACATTAAAAAAATGATCGTCTATTTTAGAAACAGCGAGATGAGATCTTTTAGAGATCCAGACTACTGTTGGTTTCACATGGAGCTGGAGGAGCTCTGGACCTCCTTGCAGGACCAGCCCCAAGGCAGTATTTAGAGTAGCTGCCCTTCTCCCCATAGCAATGGGCACACCAAAGTCATCACTGCCTGGACTGATTTCGTGGGCTCCCCGGAGGAGGTGTCCCAGCTCTGCTTTGTGGAAAGTGAGAAGAGGGGACCCATGTCACATCAGCATGGATTTCAGGTCAGTGAAAGCAGCTGGTGTCCACTGAGGACTCCCAGGGAGAAAACCTTCCTAATTGTCCATCCTCGGTGAGCTCTTGTCCAAACAGATGTAGCTAAATGAGTGGTGCAGACTGCTCAGAGACTGTCTCCTGCTCTGGGCTCCTTTCCATGGCTGACAGACAGAATTGCCATCTTGAGACCTTGTGCTACCATCTTTGAGCTCTGCTCCCAGTGTGAGATTCAGATTTCTCACCATTGCCTCTGTTTTCAGCAATCTAACTTCATGGAGAAATGGATGCCATGGATGAGGCCCAGAAGGTGAAGCATGTCTTTTGGAGCTGGATCAGAGGAGGTGTATCACCTCCTTACCTGGGTATGGGATGCGCCCGTAGGTAATGATCTCTGTCAGGAGGATCCCGAAGGACCAGATGTCTGATTTTATAGTGAAAGATCCATAGTTGATGGCTTCTGGTGCAGTCCATTTAATGGGAAACTTGGCACCTGGACAAAGAGATCCAATGGGAAACATGGGCTCTAACTCAAATGCTGAGCAAGTGGTGGTGAAATACGGGGAATGAGAAACAAACAAACAGAAGAGGAAGATGTGAAGTGATGCAAATGAGAGGAGCTTCCCTCCTCTGCCCATTTACAAAGTTCCTCCCAGGGTCCTTGCCGCCAAGGTGCCACATTGATAAGTGGCTCTAAGGAAATCCCACAACCCTTCACCATCTCAGAAAGTGGTCAGACACCCCCAGCAGCTCCCGCACCTTCCCGGGCCGTGTACTCATCGTCTTCAATGACTCTGGCCAGTCCAAAGTCTGCAATCTTGCACACTAGTATTGCCGACACCAGAATATTGGCAGCTCTCAGGTCTCTGTGGATGTAGTTCCTCTTCTCAATAAAAGCCATCCCTTCTGCAATCTGTAAAAAAGAGGAAAGAGAAAAATGCAAAGAGGCTGTTTGAAATAACACAACCTCCCCAGCGTGACTGTTACCAGGAATGGAAAGAGGTTAACTGCTTCTGGCCAGCGCTTGGAAAGGGGGTGAAAGGAGGCTGAGTCACAGGAGGAGATGTGACTGACTCTCCTGCGTGGGAACCACCCTCCGTGCAGGGAATCCCTTTCAGAAGAGGTCAGGGTTTGGGTGACCAGCCCAACATGACCCATTTAAGCCCATGTGTGAGAAAACCAGCAAGAACTGGTGCCCAAGGGACTGGCGTGCCCACGGGCAAGTGTCAGTGGATGTCCACAGGGCAAGGCACAACTGCTTCATCCATAGCCATGCAGATGTGAGGAGGAGTAAATCATTCTCTCTTCAGAGAAGATATGAAATCAGTCTCCAAATACCTCAACGATTGCTCGGGGGAAGCAGGGAGTAAACTATCCTCTCTCTCTACTAACGCGACAACAAATGGACTATAATTGCTGCAGAGGGTCGGCCAGCATTGCGGAGCCTCCTTGGTGAAGACAAAGAAGCGCTGTGGTGGGTCTCCCTAAGGAGGGCGGGGAGGTGCCTGGGGTCTTCAAGACTAGTTTGTGAAGAGTCAGTCCTGCTCCCTGCCCAGGGGCTGTGATGACCCCTGAAGATCCCCCCACCGGCTCCGTCTTCTGAAGTCTCTGCGCTCAGCAGCTGTGGCTGTGTGTACATCTATTAGTCCCAATCAACACAGAGATGACCTGGTGTGAGCACGACCAAACCCCAGATTTGTGCCAAATTATCCCATACCTAGATGCTACCAGCATCTGGGAGGGGAAGGGGCCAGAGCAACCAGAGGGGGGTTGCTCTGGCCCCTTCCCCATCCCCATCACACCCACACAAGCTGGGCCAGGGTAAGGTACAGTTGCTCCCAGCGCTTCACACAAAATACAGAAGTAAACAAGCACTGCAAGAGCGGAAGGATTATTTCCATGACCACACGCACAGTTTTACTCACAGTGACTCAGCCCCAGCACAAACCTGGGCGCCAGCCTTGCGAGCTGCCTGCCTGCCTGCCTGCACGCCTGCTGCCTGCACATGAAAGCGTTTCAGCCTTTGCTTCTCGGTGCTGCAGAAAGCAGCCCCTCTGAGCCACCGAGCCAAGCCGGGCGGTTTGCAAGAGCCAGCTTGCTGGGAACAGATGGCGTGCACGAGCGCGCAGCTGATGAGCAGACCCTGGCGCAGCCGGCTGGAGTAGCCAGTGACTTGGTCTAAGCCCCTGGGCTCTGGGCTCTCGTCCCGGCTTTCCTGTTGCACAGGTACCTCTGTGAATTATTTCTTAGAGGTACCAAGCTTGGCTCAAAGGGTCCCTGGATTCGGCCAGCATCTGGGGACACTGCAGAAGCAGCCGGGACAAGACAGTGGATGCACAAATGACTGCACACTTGAAGCTAGACATATAACAGCACGTTCAACTGTACTCAAAATCCGCTCCTGAAAATATCCCCAAAATGATTTTCACCGAGTCCTCCTGCCTCTCCAGCTGCCTTCCCACAGCCCGTGACAGCCCTTTGGCAGGTAGATGATTCTAATGAACCACAAACCTCCCGTAAAAAAAAATGGGGTAACATAACACATTATGCTCCCTCCTAGAAACCGTGCCCAGCTCAACCTCCCAGGCACTGTGAATGCAGCAAAACGGTCCTGCTGTGGATTTCCTATTAAGCCCACGAAGCTTAACGCTGCCACAGCTCTAAGTGGGTCCTTGCCCAGGGGCAAACCCCGAGCGGGTGTAAGACACCGCCCTGGAGCATCGCAGCTGGTGCCAGGGTGGCACAGGGTGGCCGTGGGGCCACGCGGGGCTTTGTGGGGCTTTTGCCAAGTTTGCAGATGAGGCTCTATCGCACAGAGCATGTTGCTTGCAGGTAACTATCACATCAGCAGCGATGGATAGAAATCGATAGCTTTGCCACGGTTGCTCTCTGGGGAGCCGTGGGCTCAGACAGGCCATGCTGACCAGCACCCGCACGTCCTGGAGAAAGGACTGTGTGAATGAGAGCAGTGAAAACAAGCTCCAACCCTCACCCTCCGCGACTTCCACAAAAACACAACAGCACCGCGGGCTGTGAGGGCTGCAGAAACCACAGCAGCCTTAGAAGACACGGATTTCCTGGATCCTCAGAACTAGGAGCCTGGCCAAAAATAACCCCAGGCTCTGTGCAGCTCCGGCGAGGGACTCAGTGCTGCAGTTAACAGGCTGGCGGGGAGGAAGCCACCACTTCTCCTTTCACACACACCTGCTGCTGTGCAGGCAGCTTGACCCGAGGGGCGAGCAGGCAGCACCACAGGGAAACCTCGCCGGCTCCTTTCCTGCATCCCCTCCACCCCCTGTGTTTTTGCCTGTTGAAATAAGGCACTGCCCAAGTCCGAGGTAAGCTCTTGCGCTCCTCCATCCCCCCACTCATCCTTCTCAGGGGCGAAGGGGAATGGGAGTGGGGAGCTGGGGAAGGTCTGCACCCTCCTCACCTGGGCAGAGAAGTCGATCAGCTTTGGGAACGGCTGCATTTTACCCTCATCACTCTTCAGGAAATCCAGCAAGCTTCCTGTGGACAGGGAAGGGTGCCGGGGCTGACAGCCTGCACCCACCCTCGGGGTGGTACAGGTCCTGTGGGCAGCACAGGGTCCTGGGGAGCCAAGCATGATGCGGGGACTCAGGAAACACACCTGACCCCCCCACCCCGCTCCCATGGATTGTGCGGAGGAGCAAGCCCTGCGGCAGGCTCTCTCCTGCCTTGTGGAGCACTTCTCCTCATCTGCCCCCCATCCCTCCATTTCACCTGCATCCCCCTGCCCAGCATCCTGCCCCAGAGTGCTCGGACACGCAGTGGCAGGAGCCAGCTCCGCTCCCATTGCCCCGGCAGCCAGTGCAGAGCCCACGGCCAACCCCAGGGATGCCGGAGGGCTGATCCCGCGCCATCCCTGGGGCACCCGGGTACCGCCGCCTGGCCTGGCTCGTGGTGACCACGCAGGGGCACGGGCAGCACCTTTCTCCATGAACTCTGTGATGATGTAGATGGGCTCCTCCTTGGTGACGACCGCGTGCAGCTTCACCAGCTTGTCGTGCTGCAGTGTCTTCATCAGGTTCGCCTCCTCCAGGAAGGCATCCACGGACATGCTGCCTGGCTTCATCGTCTTCACCGCCACCTTGGTGTGCTTGTTATAGGTAGCTGCGGGGCAGCATAACAGACAATTCCCAGCTTGCTCAGTGCCCAGGCACTGGGAGCACTGGATTTTGGAGCCAAAGCACCCACTCCTGCAGATGGTGCTGCTACACGAGGGCTGGAGACCATGTGCAACCCAGGGCTGTCACTGTGCACCCAGCCCCAAGCAGTCCCTGCATTAACATCAGGGCCACCTCCACTTCCCCATTCTCCTCCCACAGATCGCTCCCTCCTTGCCTCTTCCACCTCACCGTCCCTCCACCTCCTCTCCCATCCCTCACCCTTCCTCTTCCATCATCACCTTCATCTTCCTCCCAGCTGCCTCCCCCTCACTCTCACCCATCCACACTTCTCCAAACTGCCCGGCTCCCAGCTTCTTCTCCAGCCTCAGTGACTCCCGAGGGATCTCCCAGGCATCTTTCTCCCAGGGCTTCTGCGGTTTGGGCACGCAGCAGGGGTAGGTGAGCTTCTGGCACAGCCCATCGCTCTGCCCTGCCGGGGAGAGCCGAGAGCCGTCAGCTCGCCTGTCTCCCCAGCCGATTTGTGCTTTGAAGCAGAGCCCACGACAGCCTCCGTGGCCGCGGGGCATATCCTGGCACCACGCACTCCACTGCAAACACTGGGGACACGTCGGACACCGGCCATCGCAGCCCAGCGCTGCTGGCATCAGTCTGCCCTGCCGGGCATTACCCCACCGCACCGATGCAGCCAGGGCACCAACCTGCCCGGGGAGGGGGAGTCCGGGGCACTGTGGGCGTTTGGGGACACCAACACCCACGGCTGTGATGGCCAGCAAGCTGTGCAGTGTGCCAGGGGAAGGTCTGGGAGTCGCTGCATGTCACAGCCAGAGCCGCAGTGGGGCTGGGGTGTCCAGGACAGGGGAGGCAGACACCCCGGGGCTCACCCTTGTAGTACTGGACCAGCTCCTGCAGCGTATCGAAGCTGCTGCGCGGGGAGATGTAGAAGCCGCCGTTATCCAGTGTCCGAATCTTGTAATGCTTCACCGTGCCGCCCTGCAGGTCGTCCCCGTCCCGCACCGACAGCGAGTAGCAGCCTGTTCGGGGAAGGGTGAGCTGGGTGAGCTGCCAGCCCCCCTGCAGAGGGCACATCCCCCTGCGACCGGCCATCCCGTTGCTCATGGCACGTGTGGTGCCATCGCTTGGCAAAGCCACCACTGCAGCCCCCATCCCCACCGTGCTGCCACCGCACCCTCAGCCCCAGGCACGAGGCCAGCTACGCTTGCACTCCAAACACCGAAAGCAGCCACAAAGGAGCATGTCCCCCCTGTCCCCACCACAGAGCTCAGACATGTGGTAGCACCATGGGCTCTTGGGGGGACACTCGCAGGAGGAGCATGCGACCCCCAGTCCCTGTCCCACAGCAAAGCAGAGCCCTCAGGCTGGGGAGGCATCTCCCACCACGGGAACCCCTCCAGACCTTTTGTGGTCTCGCTCTCCCGTATCATGAAGGACCCAATCAGGTTCCCGGGGCCAAGGAGCTGCCGCTCTGCGTCCTTACGGCTGATGCCCTTGAAAAACCACCTGCAGCAGAAACAAAGGAACCAACGAACGCTGCTGGGGCTGGGGGAGCTAAGGCCAGCGTGGGGCAGGGCTGGGGGCAGGACATGGGGCCGGAGCAGGGACAGCCGTTGTGGGGGAGCACGGGACCACACAGCCTGGATGTGCCCTTGAGGGATGGACTCACTCCTCCGTCTCCAGTGAGTCGGCTCGGGCGACGTAGTTGCTGGGGATGAAGCCTTCACGCCCCGTCACCAACGACCGTGCCTGCCACCACTCCCCCGACCTGTGACAGGGATGGCATCGGGTCAGGCCACGGCACCCAACACCAGGCACCGCTGGCTCCTCCAGGGGCAAATTCCAGAAAAAAAAAAACCAACCACAGCAGGGCCAGGCAAGCCTTCAGGAGACCCCGTCACAGGGGGACACCAGCAGCACTTACTCCTCCAGCACCTTGAGCCGTTCCCCCTTCTGGAAGCTCAGGTCCCCAGTGTGCATTGCCTCGTAGTCATAGAGCGCCAGCACCACGTTGTCCCCCGAGCCTGCAGCAAGGGAGCTCCCTGGTCTCTCCTCCCCATGTTGGGATGGGGTGCCCACCCACCCCTGACATATGCAGCCAGGACCCCGGCCAGGACCCCCGTAGCACCCAGCGCCTCCATCTTCATCATGCCATGGCCCAGAGCTCCCGTCCTGCCGGGGCCAGCAGCGTTCAATCCAGGCTGGATAGAACCCGGCCATGCTCCCCCACATGCTCCTGCCTTGTGCACCCACTTGCAGCCCCCCCTGTACCTACCATCCTCAGGCAGAGACACGGCCATGCTGGGGACATTATTGTTCTGGAAAGTGGGACAAAACCAGAGAGTGATGTTGTGGGTCGCAGAGACTTGTACCCCATGGGGGTCTCGGCCCCACCGTGGTGCCAGCCTCCAGTAGCAGGGACAGGAGGGCACCCGAGGGGCAGCGCTGGCACTGCCCAACACAACCTGCCCAGCACCAGCATCTCTGTCCCCTCCCAACACCTTCATTTCTCTCTCCTTTTTTCTGCAATTCCTTGATTCCCAGCAGGGTCCCTCTGTGATTTGCTCCAGCATGGGCTGGGCTCCCATCCCATGGCCGAGCGCTCTGCCCCAGGTCATGGGCGCTGTCAGCACCCACAGGTGGCCCCGCTCTCGGGTGCTGGCAGCTCCAGTGAGGAGAGCGACTGGCTCAATCCTGTGCCCCCCGGCTTGCCCGGCAGGTGCCACTTACCCTCCTGTTGGTGGCCGTGGGGTCCTTCACATAGTGGCCCTGCTGGAAGCTGGGGCCAAGGTCGGGGTCAGTTTTTATCATCTTCTCTTGGATGGCAGCTTCCTTCGACTTCATGCAACCCATCCTGCAGCCAAGGGAGGGGAAGTGAAGCTGTTGCGACAGAGGCAAAAGCCCCACTCCAGCCCCGCTCCCAGCAGCTCCTGCCTGGCACAGCACAGCGCCGAAACACGACACGGGTCCGCAATGGCCACCCGGCTGCACTGCCGTGGGCAGAGAGGGCTCCACTCCCATGTCAGAGCCAAGGTGGGTGGCAGCCACAGGGCGATGGGGCACCCAGCAAGGTGCACAGTGGCGTTCTGGAAAGGAAAAGGGATCTCCTGGTGCAGAGAAAGGAGAAGTCACAGGAGGCAAATTTTGGGCAGGTGACACCAGCTGCCATTGGAGCAGTTTCACAGCCCTTCCCCAAAAAGGCCTTTCCCGGCTGGGGGTGCAGGCACTCAGCATCATGGTGGGGAAGAGCATCTTTGCAGTGCAGGACCCCTGTCATGGAGGGGTTTCCCCGTGGCTTGGGGCTCCCTGCCCAGCACTGCTGGTGCTCATGGTCCCCCCAGTCCCTCAGCGCGGCCGTGGCCCCTGTGTTGCTGTGGGTCACTGCTCTCCACTGCATTCCCTGGCTGCTCTCTGCCAGGGTGGAACTGCCTCGAACAGGCACCAGCCCAGGGCTAATGCAAATGCTCAACTTTCTCCAGCTCCCCAAGAAACATCAGCAAGAAAATGTACTGCAAGAAGCAGCAAGCATGGGGGAAACCCCCCACAAAGGCACTTCCCTTGTCCGGGGGAGACCTCAGCGCAGAGAAAGGAGAAGGTGTCGGCGGTGACAGAAAAGGAGGAAGCTCAGGGCTCAGCGGGGCCCCATGATGTGCATGGCACCACTGGCCTCGGTCAGGGAGCAGCCGGGCACCAGCAGTACCACCTCGGTCTCATGGCCCTCGAGGGACATTGCTGTCACCTCCCAGCCACCTCATGGTCACTCCTCATCCTTCCAAGAATGCCAAAGCCTCAGCTGGCCCTGTTCCCCAGGGCAGAGCAGGAGCAGCAGCGGCAGCCCCAGACAGTATGTCCCCCTCACCAGGGATGCCCCAGACTCAGGCTTTGGACCAACCACACGCAAAGCCCAGCACCGGTTCCCCCCAGCAAGCCCACGGAGTCCCTGGCTGAAATGCAACCATGGTCCATGCCGGCACCACGGCAGGTATTTGCTCTGCCTGTCCTGCACCGGGTCAGAGCATTTGGCCCTACAAATCTCAAACACCTCCAGGGGGTCCGAGCATCCCACAGCCACCCAGCCCCACGGCATCCCGGCGCTCCACCACACACAGTGACCAGGTGGTCACGGCTTTCCCATCAGCTCCTGTGATACAGCACTGAGCCCTGCCGGCACAGGGAATGCCGGC